GTGGCATTAACGTGGAGCCTCAGGGCTGGGGACAGCAGGGAGCTGTGGCGAATGGGACACGTTCTAACCTGAAGGGACAGCGGGTCCACAGCCTCAGGCCACGTGGCATCCGAGGAAAGTGGATTAGGTGTTGCTGGATCTACCAAAGGTCCAGGAAACCTGAATTTTACAGGGAAACTCCTGCTTATAGAATTTGTCAGCTGGTTTTAAAGGAGAATAAAGATATTAACATGAAGCACGGTGTACGGTGAGCAAAGCGCAGCAGGCTGGCGGGGCCCCTGAGGTCTCGTTTCCCCTCCTGTTGCCTGACTCGCTCCGCAGTGCCACACGGGCCTGGCTTGGTGGGCCCTGGATGGACGTTTGTTGGATGAATAAATGCTGGCGTGCACGACTGTGGGAAGACATGAGTGAGCATGAAAGGAGCTGGTCTCTTGTCCTGTGACTATCTGCAGAGCCACTGACTCTGCCCATAGAGTGCGGATTCAGGGTGGGCTGGGAGGGTAGGGGCAGCAGCTGGCAGCAGGGAGCAGGGGTCATGGCTTTCAGACAGAGGGGTCCCATGTTGGCCGTGGGTCCCCTCGTGTCCGAAGGCCCCCGCAGCCCCCATGGTTCTAGGCTAGTCCAGATTCAGGGGAGGCCAGGGCTGAGCCATGGACGGCCTGACCCAGGCAGGATACTGTCGGCTCCATCAGTAGGTGCCCACCCCTACCAAGGCCAGAGGTTGGAATAAGGGGTGGTAAAGCGTGGGGTTTTCTCTTTGGGGAAACTCAGAGCCTCCTGCAGGGCATAGAATGGGCGGCATTCCTGGTTCCAGAGGCTGCCACTGGGAGAAGAGGGTGTGGTGTCCTTGGCTGTGTTGAAAACAGATCAGCGCACAAGTGACAGGCAGAGCCGCTGTAGCTCCAGCCCCGTTGCTGTCCTGCAGGAGGTTTGCCCCTTCTTCTAAGTTGTCCACATTATACCAGGTGTTGGAACGGATGCAGTTCTGGGCACACTGTGGGGCCTTCCCCGGGCGCTGCATCCTTTAGCCTTGAGAGCTTACAGTGGACTGAGAGGCTGAGAGCCGGGTTCTAGTCCTGCCTTTGCCAGACTTGCTGGGTGGGCTTTGGAAGTTATCTCCATGTGTGGGCCTCCACTGTCCTATCCATTCGCGAGGAGGTGGGATCAGCTGGCCTTCACGTGCTATCTAGCGCTGACTGCAGGTTTCGATGGGATCTTGGTGGGCACCATGAATACTGTAAGCCGCCTTGTTCACCTGCTGCTCCCCAGCGGGTGAAGTCAGGTCCCCTCCCCACAGGGCAGCTGGAGCCTCGGCCCAACGGCTTCCAGGCTTGGCACACCAGCTGACTTTCCCCAGCGCCTCCCTTCCTCCGTGATGCCCTCCGTGCCTCCACCCGGCTCAGGACTCCCAGATGTTCTTCCACGACAATGTCTGGATTTGGACTACTGACCACAGGTCCACTGACACCTCCATCCCCTCACTGCTCATTCTGTGTCTCTGGTGCATTAGAATGGCCCAGAATTTATTCACAGTAACATCACACCACTGTCCTGCACCTTCGGGCTCAGTCTACACCAAGCCTTGACCGGATGCCTTGCATCCTTGGGGGAACCACCAACTGGCCGTCCTGAGGTCTTGAGACACCCTGCGCACAGCAGCCCCGTCCCCTGCCTTGGCGTCCACAGTGAGGCCCTCCAGTAACCTGGCTTCTGAGACCCTCGACCTGCAGCATTCCCAAGTCTGAACGCCTCCCTCCCCCTCAGCTGATGCCTCATAACCTTGTGATTTCTGGGAGACCTTACCTTCCAGGTAAACAACTCTGGTGTCCCCTTTTCTGTCCCCTGGCGTCTGTTTTTCCAATCCTTCTCCTTTCCTATCTCTTGCAGAACCTAGTTTTGTCTTCGTTATGTCCCCGAGGTTCCAGATCCTTCCAGAAATTTCTGTTGAGCATCTCAGCATCTGCTGTTGGCTTCCTGCGCCTCTCAGGAATCCCTTTGAAGTTTGCAGCCCTTTAAAGAAAATGAAGGGCTCTCTCATACATGACCACGTTGGCCTTTTAATTACTGGCCTTTGGGTCGGCCTCAGGTGATCAGCTCCTTGAGAGTGGGGTTTCTCATGTTTACTCAGCTCTGGATGATAAGCTTTGCATACGAGAGACAACTGATAAACGTCTGCAGATTAAAATGTGACTGACTTGGTTTTGATGGGACCTATGCTTAAAGATGGTTATTTTCTGTAATTAGGAAGTTGTGCAGCATGGGAGAAGGCAGAGGACAAGGAGGAAATGGGAGGCGTGGTGGAGATGGGGAGATGGGGAGATTCCTGTGGGTGAAAGGATGCCCTGGGATTATCACAGCGCATGCTGCCCCCTTGTGGAATACTTGCATCAGGACAGCCTGTGACAATCCTTGGCCTGGGTTCTCAACCTTTCTGTTCTCAAGACTCTTTTGCACTTGAAAAACGTTTGAGTATCTCAAAGAGCTTTTGTTTATGTAGGTTACATTTATTAATATTTTTAATTAAAAAAATAAAATACTTATTAATTCACCTAAAATAGTATTAGTAAACTCATTACATAGTAATACATTTTTGATTTCTTAAATACAAAATAATTACATTTTTCAAAAAAATCTAGTGAGAAGAGTGATTTCAATTAAAACATGTTTGCACACCTTTTTAACATATGGTTTATTTTATTTATTTATTTATTTATTTTTATCCTCACCCGAGGACATTTTTCCATTTTTTGTTCAGGTAGAGTGGGAGGGAGAGAGAGGAACAGAGAGAGAGAGAGAAACAGCGATGTGAAAGGAACACATCGAGTGGCTGCCACCCGCACAACCGACCAGGGCTGGGGACAAACTGCAACCGAGGTACGTGACCTTAGCGGGTACCGAACCCGGGTCTCTCAGGACCGCAGGCCAACGCTCTAACTGCTGAGCCAAACCGGCCAGGGCTAACATATGGTTTAAAAGAAGATCGTTGGATTCTCATATCCATTTCTGCATTCAATATGTTGCATATATTGTTTTGATTGAAGATAGGAAGAAAATTTAGCCTCACACAGGTAAGTAGTTGGACATGGAGACATATATTAATAGTTTTTTTAAATCATCATGGATATTATTATTATTATGATTAATCCTCACCCGAGGATATTTTTCCATTTATCTTCGGATAGAGTGGGAGGGAGGGGGATAGGGAGAGAGAGAGAAATATCCATGTGAGAGAGACACATCAGTTGGCTGCCTACTGCATAACCCCAACCAGGGCCGGGGACGAACCGCAAGGGAGGTACGTGCCCTTAACTGGAATTGAACCCTGGACTCTCTGGCCCGCAGGCCAACGCTCTAACTGCGGAACCAAACTGGCCAGGGCAGATATTATTTTTTTAATAATTCACCAAAACTCAACGAGTGGAGGTTTCTTAAAGGTTAATTGCAATGTGGAATCTGAAACTGTATCAGCAAATTCTTTGTCCTCTGTTAAATCAGCATCCATTGGTCCATCATGAAATGTGAATGGGTCTTTCATCCAGGCCTGACTTTGTAACCCAGATATGGTCATTAGGAAAACAATGATTCACTGAGTTATTCACATCTTCCAAAAGCTGACACCTTTCACGATCTAATATACAGATATTTAAATTAACATCTATTAACATCACCATTAATCTCATCGGAAAAGTCTTTTAGTACTGGAAAACCATCAAACTCATGGTAGTGGACACAATATTCCAAAATTCTAATTTTTGCTTGAAAGCTCCAAATTTATTATGCAGAGAAATCCCGTTGGTTGTTTTCCTTGGAGTGAAAGTTTCACTCTGTTCATTTTGAAGAAAATCTTTGCCATGTATACCCCGGGATGAATATTCAATTTACTGTCTGGCTGTTTGGTCTTTCAAGTAAAAATGGTGTTCCAGGGGAAAAGTGGCTGGTTCAGCTCACCACGCACTCACACCAGGCTGGTGTGGGTCCACTGGGGAGAACAGTGGGGGAGACCAATGAGCATTCAAAGGATCCTTCCAGGGGGCTTTTCCGGGGACCCCGGGCCCGAGGCTGAGACTGCGACTCTCATAATGGCAGCCTTTCTGGATGGAGCATCCCCTTGGAAGGAGCCTGTCCACAGGCTCAGGAGGCTGCCCTCCCTTGGGAGAGGAGAGCGCTGGGCAGGTCCCAGGACACGCAGTCCTCTTGCACCGGCGGGGAGTGCCGTGTGGAGTTCCTCTGTGGGGACACAGAGGCTCCGAGAGGCAGCCCACACACTGTGAGCCAGGTTAGGTGATGACTGCAGTGTGGCCTTGAGCTGGGGGTGGGCGAGGGGCTGGAGGTGCTCCGTTTGTGGGAGGCTCCCTTGCGTTGTCTCCACCTGTCTCCTGAGTGGGTGACAACTGATACGGGTGAGGGTGTGGCAGAAGTGGCGATGATGGGCACGTAGGATGCAGGGTCAGAACTGGGCATAACAGCTGCCTCCTGGAATGCATCTTTTTATCTCTTTGCCACTGTCCTGGACACTCACCCACCCCAGCCCCCGAGGGGCAGGGTTGGTGAGGGACCTCCATTACAGCCTTCACTCCTGGGAAGATCTGTCTCCAGTGCAGGAAGTTCCCAGACGTGGGACACAACTGCCAGGTCCCATGCGCATTCCCAGGTTGCTGGGCTTCCTGAGGGCTGGGAGAGGAAGGAGCTCAGGGAGCTTGGGCAATCTTGCCCTTTCCCGGGGAGGAGGCACCTGGGCTTATTCACAGGGCGGGTCCCTCTCTCAGCCCCAGTGTGGTTTCACCGAGTTCCTCTCAGTGCTGTGCAGGGAGCAGGCTCCCGGCCTCAGAGTCTGCCCTTCTCCTCTCCAGCTTTTGTTAGGGATCCAGCTTTCCTCCTCTGGGAAGCCAGAGCTGAGGCTCCATTCCCAGGAGGGAGTGCCCTCTAGTGGAGGGAGAGTGAAGGCCAGAGGAGGCAGCTGCTGGACAAGGGGGCAGGGCAGAGGCCAAGTCTGAAAGGGAGAAGTTGCCAGCCAATGAGGAGTGAGCGGCCCGCACCCTGACCTGCATGGGATCCCCAGGTATTTCTGAGTGTGTGTGTATGTTTCCTTGGAAAGCCCTCTCCCAATGAAGGGACTGTATTCCACTAGATGGAGAGTTAAGGTCAGATTTCCTCTGCCTTAGAACTGAGGGCTGTCCCCCACCCCCACCCCCACCCATTCCCAACTGGGAAGGTCTTTGTACTAGACCCACTCACGTGTGTTTGGATTTCTTGGTTCCCATATTTCTGGATTTTATGGTCTTTTTCTATGAGAATGGGGGGCAGCAATCCTACAGAGCAAGGTTCGTGTGAGGACCAGACAGGATAGCCTGTGTGAATGTCCTCACAGGCCGGTCCATGGTCGGCACCCACGCAATGGAGTTGCCCGGGGTAACAGGGTGAGGGTGTTTACCTATCCGATGAGCAGCTTACCTGGCTGGGGACCCTGAGCTGTCTGTCCAGGAGCTGGCCCTCAGGAGGCCGGAGCTGGGCAGGAGGCGGCCAGGGTGCTATGCAGTGGGGGGCGGCTGTTTGAGGAGTGGACGAGGGGGTCAGGTTCACTGTCTGTGCCTCCCCCAGGGCCGCGGTCCACGCTCTCCTCGCCAGTGACCAGGTGTCCCGTGAGGATGCTGCCGTGGCTTCTTGTCCTCCCCGTTCTGGGTCTCGGGGCCCGGGGTGAGTGTTCCATCATTGGATCAGAGGATTCGAGAGTAACTGAGAAGGATCATTTTAAAACCCTCTTCCAGGAGTTCCTGCAGTGCTGGCTCCCCCCAGCGGGAAGAAAGGCTTTGTGCTGAGAGCCAGAGCTGGGAATCTGTAGCCTTGGGTTCAAATCCTTGCCCTGTCTGCACCAATGATTGTAAACAAGTGATGTAGCTCTTTAAACCCGAATTTTACCACCTGAAAATGGACAACAGGCTGTGGTCTCTGGAACTTACTGAGAGGGTGAGAGGGGATAGTTCACAGGAAGGACTGGCCTGGGGAGCAGTGACCCCAGTTGTTACGTCAACCAGAGGCTGACCCATGACTGAGGTTCACGCCTGTCAGCAGCAGAGAGTTCTCTGGGGTCTGGGCTGCCTAGCCCCATCTTGCGCAGGATTATGGGCATCAAAAATGCCCTCAAACCCGGCCACTGTGGCTCCGTGGATTGAGGTTGTCCCCAGGACTGAGAGGTCCTGTCAATTCCCAGTTCGATTCCCAGTCAGGGCACAAGGCCCAGTTTCGGGCTCAATCCCCAGTAGGAGGTGTGCAGGAGGCAGCTGATCGATGTTTTTCTCTCACATCAATGTTTCTCTCTTCCTTCCTCTATAAAAAAAATCAATAAAACATATTTTTTAAAAATGCCCCCAAAACCAGTCCCCCCAGAACTGCCTTGATTCGAGCAGGTTATTCTAAACCATCCTCCGCTCAGTCTGCGCGTCGCTTCCACTAGGTACAGTTCACCCGGAGAGGACACTGGTTTGAGGAGCCTGGGTACGTTCCCAGCCCCTCCCCCAGCTGCGCGTGTAGATGTAGCTCATGGGAAGGGCAATGTTTCTGACTCGCTGCCCTTGGGGATGTAACTTTGGGGGGATTACTGGAGTGGCGTTTGAAGAAACCGCACCGTGTGCATCCACTGGAGGGGGTCCTCGGTCCGCCCAGAGGGGTTCCTTGGGGCCCAGGGGTCTGGGAGGCAGAGGGAGTGAGGGGCGGCCACTCCTCGCCGGAGCCTGTGTGCTGAAGTGGCTGGAACTAAGCTCTTGAGGACAGGCTAAATGGACTGTTCCCCTGCAGGTGACTTTTCCTGGAATAAGACACACTTCAAACACTTGTCGGAGAGGCTCCAGTACCTGTTTGGCAACATCTCCCAGCTCGCTGGGAAAGGCAGACTAGGTCTGTATGGTGAGGAGGCTTGGGGACCGGCTGGGGCCGGGGCTCCTCGGGTGACCAGATGTCTCTGAGATCAGCACAGACACTAGTGTTGAGACGGGACAATGGGGCCGAGACACGGGGAGGAGCAGGGCAAACCACCCTCGCAGATTGCGGGGCCCTTGAGGTGGTGCCCAGCAGATAGAAGCCGGGAGGGAAGAGGCCAGGGCTGCCCTCCAGCTGGGGGGATGGACACCACACCCTGACCCCCCAGGTCCTGGAGGGTGTCCCCAGGCTGAGGAGGGATGGCAGCCCCCTCAGAGACTGCTCGGGCAGGACGAAGGACTCAGCAGAGTCACAGAGCACACAGAGGGCATTTGTGCGCAGGCGGGTCGAGAGGGGCTCAGGGTGTTCCCGGGTGAATGGTGACAGGGATGCTGCCTGGGACCCGGAGCCAGGCGTCCAGGCTTCTGTGCAGGCTGCGCTGGGGGCGCGGAGGTGGGATGGAGTGTGGAGGAGAGCAGAGGGGGTGCCTGCTGCCCAGGCCTTTCCCAGCCCCTCCACCAGCCTGGGCAGACACAGCCCGAGTGGCGGGCATGGCCTGGCGGCTACTGTGGCAGGGTTGGGGTGAGGTGTGCTGAGTGGCACCCCCCACCGTGTCCCCCACAGATGTCTCCGCCATAGTCTCTCGTGAGGAGTGGGGGGCAGGAGCGGTTGGCTGCAGCACCCCGCTGACCATGCCGGTGGAGTTCCTGGTCACCCACCACGTCCCTGGGCTGGAGTGTCACAGCCCGACGGGCTGCAGTCAGAGGCTGCGGGAGCTGCGGGCCCATCACACGCACAACAGCTGGTGTGACCTGGCCTACAAGTGAGAGGGGCCGGAGGCGGGGTCAAGGTCAAGGCTGCTCTGGGCCCTCTTCCTGCCCCTTCTCACCCGATTTCCTGACTTTCTGGGTTGAGGTTATAGCGAGTTTATAACGTGTAAATTATCTGAAAAACTCTGTAAAATTCCCAATCCTTTGAAATGTTCTGTGAGGCCCTGGACTCGAGATCCCTAGAAGGGAGCGGGATGGTTCAGTACTGACCATGCCTTCCACCCTCTGGTCAAGCTGGCCCAGCACACGCAGGTTGTGAGCGTATCCGCTGGACCGCGGGTGAGGCTGCGTCTCCGTGCGCGGGCTGCGGGCTGCCGGATGCGGGCTGCGGGCTGCCGGCTGCGTCTCCGTGCGCGGGCTGCGGGCTGCGGGCTGCGGGCTGCGGGCTGCGGGCTGCGGGCTGCGGGCTGCGGGCTGCGGGCTGCGGGCTGCCGGCTGCCGGCTGCCGGCTGCGTCTCCGTGCGCGGGCTGTGGGCTGCGGGCTGCGGGCTGCGGGCTGCCAGCTGCAGGCGGGGCACCCAGGGAGGGAGCGTGTTTGAGTCCCTCCAAGTCGCACAGCTGTGATAGCCGTGGAGCCCAAACCCGCTCGGAACTGTCCCTTCGCCCATCGCGTGTCCCTCCACCACGCGCACGGCGCTTCCACCTCGGCGGGCAGTCGTCTTGCTCGCATCCTGTTGGTCCCTCTTGTGGACTGTTGGTGGCCAAGGGCTGCGCCTCTGGCTTCTGCTGGTAGTGGGCAGGTTCTGTGCATGGTGATGTTTTCTGCCTCTAGTGCCCGCTGCATCTGTCTCTTTTCTGCTCCAGGCTTTACCACGTCCTGCAGGTGAAGGGGAGTAACCCCCTGGGGCAGGCGTTGTGGATAATTTCCTCAGTCCTTCCGAGGCACACTTCTAAGGTGCATGTACATGGTTCCTTGTGAGGCCACAGGGTGGGGGTGGGGGGGACTGAGCCTCCGGGGGCCACCGTGCAGCCTGCCCAGCCGCCCACTGTGCTGGGTTCTTCCTTCTGTCTTGTTCTCCTTGCTCCCTTGCTCTCCTTGGATCTCTTTCCAAATAAACCGCCTGCACCCACGTCCTCGTCTGGGTGCTGCTTCCGGGGAAGTCTGTGCAAGAGTGCCCTGGCAGGGGGCAGCCACATGAGCCACCCGTGTGGACGGTACACAAAGCAGAGACGTGTTGGAGGACGGAGGACAGGAAGGGTTAAGGAGATGGAGGGTAGGCTGAGAAGAATTCTTACCTTGTGTGGTTGGGTCTATTAGTTCCAGACCTTTTTTCCTTCTGAGTATAGCAAAGCGGGGGCATCTGAATAAGAAAGGGGGTCGGGGAGGGAGGGAGTGGGTCCTTCTCAATTCTAAGGGCGAGTATAAATGACTTATCCCAGCTACTGTCTGGGGCCAGTTCATACAAGCTTCCTTTGGTGGCTGCGGCTCCCGCCTTCCCCCTGGAGGCTCGGGAGGTGGTTCCTCCCGCAGGGATGTGCTGCAGTGCCAGCCACGGAGCCCGCTTTTCTGCTCCACAGCTTCCTGGTTGGGGACGATGGCCGGGTGTACGAAGGTGTCGGCTGGGGTGTGCAGGGTGTGCACACTCAGGGCTACAACAACATCTCCCTGGGCTTCGCGTTCTTTGGCACCAAGGAAGGTAAGGATCATCCCGGCTGCCCTTCTCCAAAGAGTTATCTGGCTCTGTCTCAACACTCAGCTGTCTTCTCCCCCTTCTCATACTTCCCGGATGATCCGTCCCCTCACCCGCTCCTGCCCTGGAAGGGCCTGGGCCTCAGCTCTCACTTCTGTGTCAACAACGGTCACCCCTCGCTCTCTAGACTGACGCTTCTGCAGCCCCAGGCCATGCTTTCTCGTTCCCTGCCGACGCCTCCCCTTTTCTAATCTCTTATCCGAGATTTTCCATATAAATTTTAGCAACCACCCTGAGGCCTCCGATCCCTTACTCCCTCCTACTTTCTCCTGGTCTTATTGTTGCCCCTCGGCCCCCATGTCCTAAGGTACACGCTCCAGGACCAGCCCATGGAATCTGTGCCTCCTGGACGGGGAACAAAGTTCTTGCACACCTAGTTCCTCAGGTCCCCTCCCAACATCCTCAGCGATAGTCCAGATGAGTCTCAGGATCACTAGTCTACAGTGTGCAGCCCGTTCCAGAGAGGTGAACGGCCCGAGGGGACTCAGCTGTAAGGACGGGAACCAGACACAAGCCCGTCTTCCTTTTCCAGCTCCAGGGTGGTTCTCCACACACCAGAGGCTCTGTGTCCAGCGTGGGTCGTTCATGTGACCACTTGCTGTCACCTCGTCAGCTGTGGGATCTTGAGCCGTTACTTCCTGAGCCTCAGTTCCTCTAGATGAGTAATGGGGTTAATAATACCAGCTGCCTCTGAGGTTTGTGGTGAGGATTAAAGCAGTGAATGCAGGTAAAGAGGCTGGCAGGGGCCCGATTCGATGCTGACCCGGCCAGCTGGGCACTGCTGAGCGCGGTGCTGCCTTCAGCTCTTCCGCGGACAGGGAGGGGATGGATGAGGACTCAGCGGTCACTGGGAAAGGTCTTCATGCAGAGGCACCGAAAGTTCTGCCCAGGCAGACCCTTGACTCTCACCCTGTCCACTTGGGGATGAGCCAGTTTCCTCTTCCCCTCCAGCAGCTGGCAGCCCCGGGCAGGCCGGCGGAGGTTCACCACAGATCACTCTCTCGCAGGCCACAGTCCCAGCCCTGCTGCCCTGACGGCCATGGAGCGCCTGGTAACCTATGCTGTGCAGAAGGGCCACCTGTCACCCTGGTACGTGCAGCCATTTCTTGTGAAAGGCGAGAACTGCCTGGCTCCCCTGCAGAAGGCAAGTCCCAAGCAAGGTAAGACCTTCAGCCCTATGGGGCCTCCCTTCACACTCACCCCCCGATTTCAAATGCCATCGGGAGTGACCTTTTCAGCCAGGCTGTCACTGGGTTCCTGCTGACCGGCGACTGGTCACCCAACTCCCTGAAGCTCTAGGGCAGGCACACCTCGAGAGGGACCCTGCCGGCCACCTCCTTGCCCCTCGCAGCCACGCGCCGTGACCGCACACTCGCTCCCCATCACCTGGAAGATCTGCCTGAGCACCTGCTGAGCACGCATCTAGCCACAAAGCACACAGAAGCAGTTTTACTTTCATGAAGTTTATGAAGTTTCAACCCAGAAAGTAGAGAAAGCCAATGAGCAAGTCAACAGGAAAATATCTGGTGTATTACTGGGTGAAAAGCGCTGTGGAGGGAAGAAAGCCGAGCGGGTGGGCGTCTGACGCAAACGCGGAACGTGCATGGGCTCCCAACTCCGTCCGGAGCAGCACCAGCAGGCTGGGGGCTGGGTCCCCACTACACTCACTGTGGGTGGCGTGGACGTCATTCAGGTCACTAAAGGTAGAGAAAAGGTCGATTTGGGCTTTAATAAGCAGCAACAGCAAAACCAGGCAGCCACGAAGGACCTGGTCTCCACAGTTAACAAGCACTTTCAGGCTTTTCTTGGACTTAATGAAGTTTTAAAGCTTTAGCACTATTATATTAAAACTCTGAACAAATTTGATCTTTACCTTTGGGTTTACGCCATCTATCAATATTAATAATTACCTACACCGATGGAGACTTTTATGGATTATAAGTGGCTCGCAAAGATGCTTTCAAATGAAAGGCCGGCTGATTTCTCCGAAAGGGCCCTGTTACACATGTTCTCTCTCTCTCTCTCTCTCTCTCTCTCTCTCTCTCTCTCTCTCTCTCTGTCACACACACACACACACACGACAGTCATGCAGATAAATAAGTACATTTTGCCCTTGCAATAAAGTGCACCATGTCCCCTCAGAATCAACAGTCCCATTGTCCTTTGGGTTCTGATTTTTGGGTCAGAATCTGCGGCTCTTTGGTTCTTGCCTCTTGAGTCCAACCCCTCTCTGCAGACACACCTGTTCCCAGGTGGGCTACGCTGAGAGTGCTGGACTCTCCCAAGTTCCAGAGTCAGGTCAGGATGCCCCGTGGATACTGGACGTGGGGGGATCCGGGGTTATGTCGGCCTTCACTAGTGAGGTGGTTGACACGGATGGGCACAGTGAATCCTCACGTCCCTGTTGGTTGCCCCCCACAGCTTGCCCTGACATTGTGTCTCGGTCTGCCTGGGAGGCCAGGGAGACCCACTGCCCCAGGATGACCCTCCCAGCCAAGTACGCCATCATCATCCACACCGCGCAGAGGACCTGCAACACGTCCGAGGGGTGCCGCCTGCTGGTGCAAACTACGCAGTCCTTCTTCATGGACAGATTCAACTCGTGTGACATTAGCTATAAGTATGTGGACCTGAGATACCTGGGCTTCAGTCCCTTGGGAGCAGACACTGGGCCTTCGAAAGGAAGAGAAAGGGAACTAATGTTGCTGAGTGTCCCCCGCAGGAAAGTGCCCCTATGTAGCCGCAGATTCCGCGCACAGCCCTGGGTGGGCTTCCGTTAGGATATAGCTAGAGGAGTAGCCATTCCCCTGAGCATGTTCTCAGAATGTGTCCCCTTCCAAGGTCATATGTTGACATGATGGAGGCCAAGGCTCTGCTGAAAAGATGTTAGAGGAAGTCATATGTGTGCAGGATGGTGAAATCTGTAGAAAGGAAAATCTAAGGTGATTTCTTTTTCTCATAACTGCCTCCCACGACTCAGTGGCTCAGCCCTGCCTTGGGTGCAGCAGCAAGCTGAGGTTTGTCTCCCCAGGATTAGGTTCATTCTATTTTTTTCCTCGGCACATGGAAAGCATCAGCCTCGTGGGGGAGAATGTCTGAGGGCCGGGGTGAACCCAGAAAACACCTGATTTCTCTCATGCCAAGGTCTGCAATTCTTTGATAAAGAACACTCTAACCTGTGGGAAAGTAGAAGCTTTGTGAAGGATGCTCCAGAGTCTGCAGAGAAGACTTCCAGAGGATGCTAGCAGGAGAGGATCATACTAACCTGAGACAGGAGGGACAGGAAGAGGCTGGCAGGGCGGGAACGTGAGGTGCTGAGCCAGGGAGAAGGGTGAGGAGGATAGGAGAGCCCCGCAGCCCTTGGGGGGACTGGGAGGAGCCACCTACCATCTCAACAGAAACAATCACACAAAATTTTGTTTCAGGCCACTACTAGCCCAGACGGCAGTGCCCGGCCTTAGATGAAGTTGCCATCACTTGCTATATGCTCCTGGGCTGACTGCCTTTCCTCTCTCCCTCCCCCTTTTAGTAGCCACTCATCCGGGATAGGAGAGCACTTTCCTCCGGCATCGATCCTCTGTACAGACCTAGGTCCTGCTCTGCAGGGTCACTCAGCGCTGCTCTTTCCTGGGAATGGATGCCTTACGAGGGACTATCCATCTGGGAGATGAGAGGGGCTGAGGGAGGTCCTTTTCCTTTTCCCATTCAGGCTTCAGAGGACAGTTACCTGTTTCTTGGCTTTTGACATTTTACTGTGTCCCCTGCACCATAACCTTTTGACTGTGCTGTTTCCTTATTTTGCAGTGGTCTGTGGTCAGGAGTAAACTATCTACTTGCAGTAAATTAATTCATTGAGAACATGACTGGGTGGGCGCCAGGCCCTCGGGCGCCCTGACTGGGTGGGCGCCAGGCCCTCGGGCGCCCTGACTGGGTAGGCACCAGGCCCTCGGGCGCCATGACTGGGTAGGCACCAGGCCCTCAGGTGCCATGACTGGGTAGGCACCAGGCCCTCGGGCACCCTGACTGGGTGGGCACCAGGCCCTCGGGCCCTGACTGGGTGGGCACCAGGCCCTCGGGCGCCCTGACTGGGTGGGCACCAGGCCCTCGGGCGCCCTGACTGGGTGGGCACCAGGCCCTCAGGTGCCATGAGAAGAAGCACAGACAGGTTTTTGCCTTCATGGAGCTAATACTCTGGTGAAGGAGAAAGATGATTAAACAAATAAATCCTAATCGAGTACACTAGGTGTTATGAGAGAAAACACACATTTTAAAATCTTTACCTAAGGATATGCTTATTGATTATTTGAGGGACAGGGGAGAGAGAGGGGGGGAGAGGGAATGGGAGAGAGAGAGGGACATTGGTTGCCCTGACAAGGGATCAAACCTGAAACCTTTTGGTAAATGGGATGATGGTCCAACCAACCAAGCCACCCGCCTGGGCAGGAGGCAGTTTAAACTCTTGTTTAGGTTGCTTCTTGTTGTTGTTTTAAAATTTTTATTGAATTAATTGGGGTGATATCGGTTAATAAAATTATACGGGTTTCAGGTGTACAATTCTATGGTACATCATCTGTATATTGTATTGTGTTCATCACCCAAAGTCAAGTCTCCTTGAGTCCCCACCTGTCTCCCCTTTACCCTCGACCACCTCCCCCGCCCCCTTTCCCTCCGGTGGCTGGGAGGATGGGCGGAGGAAACATGTTAGCCAGGACCGGAGGGATGAGAGGGAGCTGGTCAGAGGACGGAGAGGGAAAGAAACTGGAAAGGCCTGGGTGCCATTCAAGAATGGTGCCTTTGAGGAGCTGAGGAGTTTATCACGATAAAAACAGATGCCAAAGTAAGGTGTGCTGGGGTGTAAGGCGGGGAGGAGAACGGGCCGTCCCACAAAGGATCCTGTAACTTCAGCTGGGCTTTGATATATGATTGTATTAGAATGGCCACTCTCCTCAAAGCTTCAGAAACAAGTGCAAAGGGCAAAGCTGGAGGTGGTGAGACCCACTGAGGACTGTGCAGGTGTCCCGGCAAGGCAGGACGGTGATGTGGCTGGGGGGTGGCGGAGGAGAGGGCAGAGGAGTCAGAGGTCGGGGGGGACAGTGGTCTATGCTGAGGATGCAGGGGCCACCCAGGGAGAAGGGCCGGGGCACGGCTGACAAGCTGGTTACTGAGTGGAGACACAGATGGGCTGATGCCCGTACTCCTGACTGGAGCCAACGGGAGGACGCGTGGTAGCATCTGTCACCAAGACGGGGAGCCCAGGAAGAGGAACAGGTGGGGAAGGACATGGGTCCAGGTGTGGACACGTGGACTTTACTGAATGGCAACGGAAGCGAAGGAAGTGGGGGGCTTAGCCCTGGAGAACGTGTGGAGTGAGAAGGGGGAGGGCTGAAGGCAGTGTCCCGAGGAACCCCGTGTGCAGGACAGGGCACGGCAAGATGGGGTGCAGAGGAGTCTGAGGGGAGCCAGCGGAGGACAGCCAGGAGAGTGCTGTCATGGACGCTAAGGGAGAGGTGCTGGAGAAGGCGGAGGGAGGGTCCTTAGTGTCAAATGCACAGAGAGCAGGAAAATGAAGGTTGGGAAGTAAGCTTTGTGCTTAGTCACATGTCACCTCGGGGGAAACGGTTTCATTGGCGACGTGTGACGAAGGCCAGGTTGTGGGGATTGAAAGCTGTCACTCTCTTCTCAGAGACTGAGAGCCACTTGGGGTAGCAGTAGTGGGTTCACGACACCGGCTATTGGAGATTCAGGAATGTTGTGAGCCAGTGTTCAGCCATCGGAAGCCCGCGTCTACCGGGGTGGGAGTTTTCACCACAGAAGTCAGTAAAAGATACAAGTCAGGGCTTCCTACCCCCTCCTTCCCCATGAGAGCTGGTTGGCCAGCAAGCTACTGGCAAGGACTCTTTTGTAACAGTGCTCAGAATTTAATAGCCAAGTAATGTCTGGCAAGTAAAGGCATGAAAGAAAGAAAGAAGAAAGAAAGAAAGAAAGAAAGAAAGAAAGAAAGAAAGAAAGAAAGAAAGAAAGAGAGAGAGAGAGAGAGAGAGAAAGAAAGAAAAGAAAGAAAGGAAAGAAAGAAAGAGAGAAAGAAAAAGAAAGGAAGGAAGGAAGGAAGGAAGGAAGGAAGGAAGGAAGGAAGGAAGGAAGGAAGGAAGGAAGGAAGGGTCCCAGAGTGCCTCTCTTTCATGCTGACCTCCGTCTCTCCTCTTGATCCTTCAGCTTCCTCGTGGGCCAAGACGGTGCCATTTATGAAGGAGTGGGCTGGAGTGTCCAAGGCTCCCACACTCCTGGCTACAGTGACATTGCCTTGGGCATTGCCTTCATGGGCACCTTCTCAGGTAAGGAGGCTCTGAGCAGTAGTGGTCGCTGTATGGTGTTTGAAGGAGGGCGTCGGGCACGGAAGACCACAGCCTCTGGCTCCAGTAGCTGCATTTGCTGGATTCACCCAGCTTCCAATTTGATGTTTTACTAAGTTAAAAGTGACCAGAAGTGACCCCGCACAGAATGCCCATCCTAAACCTACTTTCTTTACATCCAAATGTCTGTTCCAATATGCATGACGCATGTAAGATGAGGGGAAATTCTCTGTGCGTGTTTTCTGAGTCACACCTGGCATCAGTGCAGGGACACGTGCCTGATGTCACAGCCACGGATACGCCCCCGTCTCTGCACCCAGAGTGCACACTGAGCATTGTCATCGCTCAGAGCTCTTGAACAGAATTTGTTTAGACCCAGAGGGCTTTTGCTGAACCTCTGGGAAGAGGAGGTCATGCCACTGGGGCTGGTTCAGCTGATATTAAAATGGGTGTTGGACAAGGGCAATGAGTGACCAGGACTGTGCCTGGAGGTGGAGCTGGGCAAGGGGAGGGTGCCAGACACACACCTGTGCCTAAGCAAGATTTCTCAGCCTCGGCCCTGTGGATGTTGTGCATCAGATGGTTCTTTGCTGCGGGGCTGTCCTGTGCATTGCAGGGCACTTAGCTGCATCCCTGGCCTCTACCACCAGATGCCTGGGACATCCTTCCTCTAGTTGTGACAACCACAAATGACTGGGGCGCTAAATTGCCCGTAGCAGGGGACTACTAGGCTAAACTTTTGCAGTGGATTAAGGCTTTGTACATCCCAGGATCACTGCATGTTTTATCCCAGTCTCTGCTGTTTTGATTCAGGAGGAACTTTGGTGCTGAGAAATGTGAAGTCTTGACTTAATTTTCTGTCTCTATAGGGTGGCTGGCGACAGTGGGCATAATAGCTTGGTAGTGGGTGTGAGTCAGGGGGCATCCCGGTGTGTGCCCTGCTCTGGGCAGGGTGGCCTGGAGTCTATGACCAGTGGGCTGTCTGTTTTGCAGGGACCCCACCCAATGCCGCAGCGCTGGGGGCAGCGCAGACCCTGATCCAGTGTGCGGTGGACAAGGGGTACCTGACTCCCAACTACCTGCTGGTGGGGCACAGTGATGTCATTGCAACCCTGTCTCCTGGGAAGGCTTTGTACGACATTATCAGCACCTGGCCTCACTTCAAACAGTGAGGGGCCCGGCTCCTTCTGAGACTTCTCCGCCAGCTTCCCCCATGGGCTGTGGGGCCCCCTGTCCTCACCCTCCACCTTGGCCTAACACCTCACGTCCCCTCCATGCTTGCCCCATTACATCCCTCCGGTCGCAGGATGGCGTGATCCTTTCCGGCTGGCATCTGCCAGTGGACCCCAAACCCTATTGCCCAGCATCCCAGCCCTCTGAGTCTGGGCCCAGCCTGCCCACCTCCGCACCATCCTCCCCGCTGGGCGCCACCTCCTCAGCCTGCTGGGGTCGGGCTGAGTGAGAACTCGGAGTCGTGGGTCTCCGCGGCCCTCCCTGCCTGGGCTCTTCAACCCGCTATTAGAAACACAGAAATGTTCTTTGTGGGTTTTTTTTTTTTTTTGGCTCTTGGTTTAGAAAAAAGGAAAGGAGAGAGGAAAACAGGTGGGATCAATAAAAGGAAAAACGTGCATGAAGAGGAGTAGATTAGGAGTATTACTTCTCCTTTCATATGCTACTTCCCTAGCTTCAGAGATTTACTTACACTGTTCCCCTAAAAACTACCCCTCACCATCTCCTCCTGTCCCAATATCCCCTCTAAGCGAGCAGAGCTTCAAGCAATCTCTGTTTTTTTTTTACTTTGCCTGAACTATAAGATGTCTGCAGTGCACACTGCCGGCTGCTTTGGCCTCCTGGCCAAGGACTGGGAAGAGTGAGGTCAGACCTCTGGAGGCCCGCCTGGATGCTCATCGGGGGTGTTTGCTGCACAGTCGTAGTAATCAGGTGGGTGAGATAAGTTCAGTCAGTCGGTTTCCCTAACCACCTGCGTACCTGGTCTGCAGACTCATGCAGAAGTGGCCACATGGCAGAGATGAAGGCGGTGCCTGGGCCCAACAACAATGCAGTCCCTTCGCCAGCTGGTCCCGCCAGTGCTGAATGTCCAACCTGCCCATGGCAGAGGCCGATGACGAGTTTCCAGCTGGCACTGCTAGCAGGGAGGGCCAGCCCCTGGCAGCAGGCTGACTGCCTTGTGGGGCACAGTTACCGGTGCTCCCTAGAACAGGTACTCGATGTGGGTACCCCGCTTCACACAATGCTTCTGGCGCCGCCGGCTGGGGACTTCCAGAATGCCTGGTCACAGTCAAGGTGTCTCACACAGCACTGTTTCTGACAAAGATACACATCTGACAGCAAACAGCATGGTGGGAGATGGTAGCACAGCATGCACTTTGAATTCTCACCCCCATAAAAAGACATAAGGCAACAAGGTTAGCAAAACAAACTAAAATCCACAGGCAAAATCAACACAGCTAGGTGACAGTCTCCTCACAAACCCTAAATCCGAGCAGATGTGAACCAACACCCAAAGCCATAGACGTGCGTTTCTGGCATCCGTGCAGGAGGGAGCAGAGGGAGACAGCAGGGTGCCTGACGGATCTGAGGCTTCGAATTACCAAGATAAACTTACCCAAAAGTTAGGCAGCTCGGCAGCTACGATCAGGAGGGGTGTTACACACCCCAGTGGTGTTTAAATACAGAGTTCTGTGTGATGTCCGCGGGACCTGGAGCAGTCTGGGTCCCACGAGTCTCCAAACTAGCCTGCCGGAGTTCTGTCTTGAATAAAGTCCCACAGGAGAGAACACTTGGGAAAGAATCTAATACAGGTCACGGGTCAGAGATACCAAAGAAAAGAAAAAGGTTCAGCTACAAGTGGGGGAGGGGAGTCAAGCTCTGAATAGAAGCCACCGTATCTTTGAACCCTTGCTTGACAAGAAGGATGAACAGGGACTAGAGCGATGTGATTAGAAAAACTATCTAAACACCGCATATCCTCCTTAAAACAAATTTGATGTAGAATGAGCAACAGAAAAGAATTGAGGTCTAATATCACGTAGAGTTATTATAGGACAAAAAGAAAGGCGTAGATGAAGTCAAGGGGGTGGGGCCCTCCTCATAGGCTTGTGTTCTTTTTTTTTTTTTATCCTCACCCGAGGACATTTTTCCATTTTTTGTTCAAGTAGAGTAGGAGGGAGAGAGAGGAACAGAGAGAGAGAGAGAAACATCGATGTGAAGGGACACATCGAGTGGCTGCCACCCGCACGACCAACCAGGGCCGGGGACAAACTGCAACCGAGGTACGTGCCCTTAGCGGGAACCAAACCCGGGTCTCTCCAGACCGCAGGCCGATGCTCTAACCGCTGAGCCAAACCGGCCAGGGCTAGGCTTGTGTTCTTATTGGAAGAGACATCAGAGACATCAGAGACCTCTGTCTCTCTCCCCACCCTCAGAGGACACCGTGAGAAGGCAGCTGTCTGGAGCCAGGGACAGAGCTTCACCAGACCCTGACCATGCTGGCACCTTGATCTCCGACTTCCAGCCTCCAGAACTGGGAGAAAATGAATTTCTGTTGTTAAAGTCGCTCTGTCTATGGTACACTTTGTTATAGCAGCCTGAACTAAGATACCAACACATCTTAATTAAAAAAATTTTAAATCTCTAGATTTAAAGATAATAGTGACTGATTTCATTGAAATCCAAGACAAAATAGTATGCAGGCCCAATAAAATGTGTTTTCAAGTTGTTAGGGACAACCTCTCCCCCCGCTGACTCTGAGCTTCTTAGGGCAGAGACCCTGTTTTACCTAGTCAGTATCGGGCTCAAGGTAGCTCAGTACACGCTTGTGATTTTTGAGTCGACTTCAAATATTGCTCTCTGAGAAGATCTTCCTGTCTACCTACCCGCCCCTGAACTGCATCCTTAGCTGAAGGCTCCTCGCGGTTCCCTTTACACTGTGCACCTCCTATTCAATCAGTCTTCCTAGCATCCTGCTTTATGGTCGTTTATATCTCTGCCTCTCCCCCAAATTAGAGGTCTTGTTCAGGGCTCCACCCTCAGTGATTAGCATGGTGCTGGGCAGTGCCTTGCCCACAGTTTGTGCTGAAAGAATAAATGCTCAATAAAAGCATGAATGAGCAAAAGAATAAATGAGTGAACACTAGGTCTGTTCATCATTGCCCTGAGCCACTGACTGTGATGATATATAATCACATGATATATATTTTATAATCACATTGCTTATATCATTACACATTCCATAGGATGTATTTGGTTCAGGTGGCAAATAAAATAGGGGAAGAAGAGGAGAGGAGAAGGAAGAAGGATCTGGAGAAGTGTGGTAGGGGGAGGCAGACCAACGGCCGAGGACTCCACATTTCCTGTGGCCATCACAGAGGGGGTCCTCATTGTGGAACCTCATTGGATTGACGGGGCCCTTGTCTCTAAGGCCATTGCAGGCAGGTGATCATTCCAACCTCTGCAGGGCTGAGGGGCTTGAAGTTCTCACCCTTAGCCTGACACACGGAATCGCCTGCCCCCGACTTGCTTCTTTATAATCACTCAGGCCCCCAGTTAAAATGAGAGGACGCAAAGGATAGGTTCTTCCCTTCAGGGATGCTAGTCACCCGAGAGGGAGGCAACCCTGCTGGAGCATAAACAGAGGCAATGGTCCTGACTGTTTTTGGTGCTGGGCAGTCACAGGGAGGGAGCCACTGTAGTTCCTTCAGGTGGGTTATTGCAACACAAAACAGAACAAAGCAACAGCGTTGCCATCCCCAGGACAGAGAGCAAGTCCGTGTCTCCGTATTTCGCTCATGACCTTGAGAGCTTTTCTCCTTTCAGATAGTAACCAGTGGCCACGGAGACTTGATTTTATCACGCCCGAGTCACTGGGACATGGGAGGGGCTGCTACATCTGACACACAAGATGATCATCGCAAGCCCTGTTCCTCTAGGTCTGAAGAATCAGAGTCCCAGCCAAAGTGTCCACTGGACGGTGGCGATGAGAGCTGGGTTCTAGAGCTGGCTCTGCCCAACTTTGTCTGTGGTCTTGAGAAAAACCTCTCTCTCTCTGGGCTTCAGTATTGTTTTCTTTAAAATGCAGAGTTGGCCCTGGCTGGTTTGGTTCAGCAATTAGAGCATCAGGGTTGCAGGTCCGATCCCTAGTCTGGGGCATGCACCTGGGTTGCAGGTTCGATACCTGGCCCTGGTTGCGGACATGTGGAAAGCAACCAATCGATGTGTCTCCCTCACATCGATATTGTTCTCTCCTTTTCCCTCCCTTTCAGTCTATCTAAAAATTAATGGAAAAATATCCTTGGGTGAGAATTAACAAAAAATAAAATAAAATAAAATGCAGAGTTTGAACCATGTGGAGCTTATTAGAGTGTTTAGATTCTGTGTTATCCTGAGCCCCTAGACTACAAGGCCCTCTCCTGGATCCAGGGTTAGCTGCTGCACCCCCAGCAGAAGATGTCCCTGTCCCATCCATGTCCCATTCCTCTCTGCCCCAGAGGGGTCTGGAGTCTGGGGTGAGCCAAGAATGAATTCCAACCCTGTTTCCTCGTCCTGTCCCCTCATCTCAGGTCTCCTTCGAGAGTGCTTTCTGCAATCACAGTTCCTACACTGTCCAATACCGTCACTGCCCACCCCCCCATCTCCTATGCATGAGGTCTCAGCACACGCTTCATGGGCCAAAGGTGTCTTCGGACTGTGGTCCTGCCCTTTGGGCTCAGACTAGGCAAGACTGATCACGCCTCGGGCCTCTAGCCTGATTCACACTGAGCACACTTCTGTTATCTTGGTTCCTTCAAACTTCTCCACTGCAAACGCATTCCTGACGCCATCTCAGCTGTCCCGAGTCCTGGTCATCATGTCCATGGACTACCTCACCTCCCAGATTGAGAACCCTTTTATATTCCCAGGCTCTTAACCTCTAACACCTCAACTCTCCCGTTGTACTCCTTGCTGAGAACAAGCACGAAGCCACAGGGTTATGGCTTAAGAGCCCATTTGATACCCTCAATTCCAGACTTGATAGCCTATTCCTGGTTTCCCAATTCCTCCTTATAACACATTGTACTGATACATCACTTTACAGAGAACACGGACTTCCACAGTTCACCTTATTGTCGTAACAACTGTGGGTGTTTGAGCCCACATTATATTATCTACTCTTTGAAAGTGAATTCATTCTTGTTTACTTATCTCTGGATAAA